ATCAGCCACCATTAATATCCATTCCCACCTGCAGTTGACAATGGACTTTAGTGACAGGGTCCAATATTCCACCCAACTCTATCATTTTAATCTGACAGGATGTCTTTGGAATGGTCATCTCTGAAGCAATAACAGTGATGTGCTGCCAGTATTTTAACATTAGGGACCCACAAAAATGATCTGTCCCCCTTCCCCCCCCAAATTCTCATAAGTATGACAAAGGAAGGAGGCAACACTGCAGTGGCAAAGAAGGTGCATTTTTCATTTTGTAACTTATTCCTGAAAAATATCTGAGTGTATTGAGGTCATAGCAGTGTAATTTGCTTGTGTAATTTGATGTGGGTAGTGGGAGTAAAAACTGTGTAGTGACATTGGGTCGGGAAGGGAGACATCCTCAGAATTTGTCTTTTTTTTTCTTTTTTTTTGAAAGTTCCTGCCATTTGGTGCAACCTGGTTCATGCAAAAGGCAAAATAGTTGCTTTTCAGAAATACTTTTATGAGCTCTAGTATTGTCAACTCTGTTAGGAATGATTTAGCAGTGCAGGGGGGAAGACAGAGAGAGCTTAATCAGAAGTAAGAAAATGTCAACCTTCCCTTCAGTTTGGTGGCAGAGTTTTAACAAGAGTCTCCTGGAAGCTCGCAAGAGCTCCCTTCTACAAAAGAATATTCTGATTAGGTGAACACAGTTCTTCTGTCAGCAAGAAATAAATCTCCATCGAGAATCTACTCCAGTGTATGGACTAAATTAGAGACTGCTGTAGTCTGATCCAGCCAAGAAAGAAATATCCCATGTTTTACAATTTTTAAACCATGGCATGGTCATGTGGCAAAGTTCTCTGAAAGTTCAGGCACAACGGCCATATTTGGGAAAATTCTAGATTTAGATGAAGGAAGAGTATTAAGAATAAGAATGAATAAGATTTGAGGTCTGTGCAAATTGATAAATCCACCTGAGACCTGAAGATGCTGAAGTGGGGAACTGAATGTGCTGCATGATTTAATGTATTGCAGGTATGACAAACCTTTAATATTAAATTTTTTGGTTTCTGTCCATCAGACTATCATTTCTGATAGTAATTATATCAGAGTTCCAATTTCTTAAATTCTTCCATCTATGAAAGCTCAGTTTTTTATCAAAGTACAATAGTACCGACGGCACAACTTTATTTTTATCCCCAAAGTGTGAAATTCATTTCCCTTTCCTAAAATCTGAATTTTCAGGCTTTATGCAGGTGGAGTACACAATGGTTGGACGTGGAAGAATCAACCCACTTCCCAGGGGTTGGGTCATGGGACACACTGTCTTCTAGGACTACTACTTCACATAGTTCCCATGCCATTTATGGGGGAGTTAAGAACATAACTTTGCAACTACACCACTTTCTGCAATCACCTGTGCAGGACTGACACAGACCCCTTAGCCACAGTATTCAGGGAGCACATATGTACCTGCTCAGCCTTACCTCAAGGCATAAGATGACATGGAGAACCTTGTGTGGGTCTATCAATGGGGGCAGCCAAGAGTCTGAGAGGGCTGCCCCTGTGGCAGCTGTGGTGCCTAGCAGTAAGAGTCCAAGATGCCTAGAAACACAAATCCAAAACGGTGCCCTCTCCCTGCTGGCACTCCCTAGCGGTAAGAGTATCATAGGGCTGTCCTTTCTCTGGGCAACAGTGCCTAGCGGCAAGAGTATCATAGGACCACCCTCTCTCTGGGCAGCAATACTAGTGGCAAGTGCAGGGAGGATAGGGGAACCTGGGCCCACCCTACTCCACTGGATTCTGAAACCAAATTATCCTGATGCAGGATTCAGGTCTTCATGTCCCCAAAACGCATCACCTGGGTCGCTTCCTACCCTTAGGCCCACCTTGGGCATCTCCTCTGTTGGCAGTGATTTGGCATCCCCTTCAGTCCCTGCAGTCAATTGGTTCCCCGCGGAGTAGTCAGAATACTTTGCCTTGGCAGTCTGGAGTGTCTTGGCAGCTCCTCTGCAGGAGGCATGTCCAGTCTCCTCCTCAGCCAGCCCAGACTGAACTGAGCTGCTTCCTTTTATATGCTCCCTCCACCAGGAGCATATCCAGCAAGAGAAAGGGGGCGTGGCCTCTTGGGACCACAACAGTTTGTTAACCCCTGTGTTGCCAATGTGGGATTGATACACCCAGTTACAGGGTCTTCTGCACCTGGATGAATTTTTTCCAGCTTGAATTTAGCTTTTCCATAAAGGAAAGGAATTCACACTACTCACATGTAAGTGCTAAATACAGTGTAGCATAATGTCTTTTAGTACCAACATTTTACATTAGTATGATTATCAGTGAATTAATCTTGTTGTCCTATGAGACTAGAAATATAGTTAAATGTACTAGATAATTCCGATCTATAGATTTTTTATTATTCCTTATATAGTGCCAAAATGTACTCGGCCCATTACAGACAAATCAGAAGTCAAGGCCCAGCTCTGCAGAAGTTACAATCTGGATATGCACTGTAAATTCTAGATGGAAAAGTCTAAATAAATTTAAATCTCTGCTCTCCAGAAACATTTGATGTTGTGTTACAGATCCCTTTAATCCCATTCTGAATATTAGATCTCATGTAACATGCCAAAATTTCCTTACTGTACCAAATGTAATGTGAAAAAAAACAAAGATGATTTGGGCCAAAACTAGCAACTTCCATCTTTGGGGAAGAAAAACCATGCACAGGCTATTAGTGAAGTACCCAGTATGCATACACAGCCTAGCACTATTAATTAGATCTTTTATCTTTATCAAATAACTCCTTCAGAAAGAATGTTCTGTACAGTGATTATTTTGTAATAAAGATTAAACTTTAGTTGGTTTATAGACACTTAATATTGTCTTCCTAATTATATTTGATTCACAGTTCTTGTTACATCCCTGTAGTGAGGTACTGTGGATGTGCGCTTTGTGTCTGTTAATTTCTTTTATATGTCCAAGTATTTGTACCACACCCATTACTGCTGTATCTGAATGCCTCTTGGAGACAGTACTGTGTGTTCACCATTCTGACCCCACTTGGAATGGGAACAAAACAAAGCAGTTCTACCTTGTAGAAAAAACAACAACAAATCATAAGCCATAAAAACAATTCTAAGCTCTATGGAATTATATGAAATTTCAGTCTTGAAAGTTGAAGTCTTCTTCCAGTGCTGTGAAGTGACAAATTTTATCAGAGATTTAGCTCTCATGTACATTCCTCTTTAATGGGGATTAGTGAACATGCTTAGCTTAGGTAAATAATTAATAGTACAAAAATACTTACAAATATTTTGGCATAGATGAAATTTTAGCATTTGATTTTGATATATTTATTGTTTAGTATGCTGCCTGTTATTTGAACTTTTGTATTACTTGGATTTAAAAATAAGTCATACCTTGATTTATATCATCCTGTTTTGAGAGGTCCCTTCTGTTCATAATGTAGCTTCAGGTAAGCATTAAATACACCATCCAAATTTCTCAGAGAAAGTACACATTTTATATGATTTCCTCTGGGAATTTTAAATGTACTCTTATTAATTTTATTCAGTTTATGATCTGGAAATTATATACAAGCACTTAATAACATAGAAGTTCATGAAATCCTAGGGTATAAAAACTAAATGTCAGTGGATTGATGAGAGTGTGATTTAATACTAAAAATACATTTATATAAACCAGGTATTTATTTATATTAAAATGGGAACGGAGAATGTAACACAGAGTGCCTGATCTGCATAAAGTAAACATAAATAAAATGGCAAGAAATTAATTTTGCAAATTGCTTGAATAAATAATTACTAGTTGCATGTAATGCTTAGGGGTGCATTTTCATTGTAAAGATTCAGTCACACTGCTCCCATTAACATTAATGAGAGTTGTGCTGTGAAATCCCGGCACTCTACACTGAAAACATACCCCTTGGAACTCTACAAATTAAAGGGAAAAGGAAGCTAATTAATGGATACTCTGTTTTAAGTCCATTCAGGCCCCTACATTTTCAGTGCACTGCAGAGGGATTTGGTTTAGCATTAATTGTGGCTAAAGCCCTAGGCACCACTTTGAAAATATTGGTAGCTAATCTTACATTGGTGAACAACTGTTCTGTTCAGATGGTCTCTGTTTCATAACTCATAATGCAGTTTGAATATGGCAAGCTGCAAACAGAAGCTTAAAGGGCCAACTTAAAAATGGCACTTCTGTCTGACATTTTTTACCTGACATGGTTACATATAACAATTACGATAAATTTACTATAAATTAATGAAATTAAGAGAAAAATAGTCAGGGCCTGATCCTATGGAAGGCAGAGTGAGTGAATCACAGGAGTACTCAATTCTCAAGCACGTTGGGGATCACTGAGGAAAATGAACCCAGAATGGTGAAAGCTCTTGAGGCAGAAGGAGGGAGTCAGAACACCCTCTTTCTTCTTCAGAAGAGGAGGAGCAGGAAGAAGACAACAGCTCCATTTTTGTATTGGGAGATGAAAGAGAGGTAATTCATTCTGAAGCAAGGTCAAATGAGCAAGAGAGAAGGAATATAAGGGGATGTTGGAGTAGAAAGAGATGATGCTTCTGGCTTCCTTCTCAAAGGCATATCTCTGCTCTACTGTTACAAGCTTTTCTCTTTAGTGCTTCTTGTGTTTTCTTCTCCTGCTCTCCGCTTGGGGTCTTCTATTCTGCTCTTTAAGGACGAAGTCAACCCCTGTATCCTATTTTGAGTGCTTAAGTGGTGCATAGGTCTCGCACTGACCCGCTGCACAAGGGTGTATTATACCTAATACTTGGAACAGCCTTAAAAGGAAGCTTATCTCTTGCACTATATTAACTATGGAAAACAACAATTAGGTATGCTGTGGTAATAGGGAATAAGGTACCAATATAATGTCACTGTTAAAAAAAGACATTGAGTGAAGAAGATATTCAGTGAACTTCTCTCCTTGAAGAAAACTCAGAAAAGTAAGATACACATGTTAATACTTCCCTTATTTCCTTGTGTAGGATCGTCGCTTTAATGATGAGATTGACAAACTGACTGGTTACAAGACAAAGTCATTGTTGTGCATGCCCATAAGAAACAACGACGGAGAGATTATTGGTGTTGCCCAAGCAATAAATAAAACTCCTGGAGGTGCTCCTTTTACCGATGACGATGAAAAAGTAAGCTTATTTATTTTGTGTGCTTCATTTCCCTGGTAGCTCGAGAGAATCTTCCCACTATTAAGGATCAATTCTCCTATTTTGTGAGAGGAACCCACACCTTATTAATAATGAATGAACTTTTTCTCTGTGGTAATAAGATCACATCGAGATAACTTGCTACCTACCTCTGTTTCTCATCTATTTATTATAAGTTTTGGATGTATTCATATTGTAAGATCAGTTTGTATTTTGCTTCAACGATCTAGACAGGCTTTCTAATTGAGAATCTGTTTTCTCAACTCTTCCATAAATGTCTAGGTAGAACTAATAACAAAGTGTTTCTCTCCCAATCTTGTGATGAAGTAAATATAATTGTAGCCCCACAGAGGCAACGAGCTCAATGCTAACTGTTTCTTATTTCATGAGGTCAAGTCCTAGTGTTCTATTATCAGTTAGCGTTTTTCAAGAAAACCAGAGTTCATGTATATAATCTTTCATTTACTTCATAAAGACTTGATGTAGGAACGAAAAATCAAATGCTATTTTTTTTTTTTATGTCTGGCATCATCACCACAGTTGATGGTACATTGTCTCATTATGTTAACCTGTGATTCCAGAAAATATGATTACCCATAATTACTGATACAAAATTAACAAAAATATTTCAGGGCTTTAGATGCCAAGAACTTAGCAGAATTATGAATAGCTTTTGAATAACACATATTTGCTTAGACTATTTAAATTTAATCAGAATAGTTGCTTTAAACAGCCATATTAAGTTGGAGGGCATTTATTATTAATGATCTATTTATCTTACAGTAAATTTTGTCTTTTTGACATGATCCTAGGGCTATGTTTATGCTAGACACTGTTTGGGCTAAGATTTCCCAGTACTGCTATCATTGGTTCCATGCTACTGATGGGAGCACTAGTAATTTAGGATTCTAAATGGTATATTCTGGGTGGTGGACAGGATTCTAGGTGGCTAGTGTTTTAAGAATCCTGTAACCCCACTCAGCAAGTCTTCATGACATTGCTCAAAATGCCAGTGGCCACCAGGATTTTGTCCGCACTAGTGATAGCAGTGGTGGGAAATTTCAGGAACAATTTCCTAGTGTAGACAAGGCCTTAGAGAGGGAATGTAAAGGTTAACAAAAAGGTTCCTGCTTGTTAGGCAAGATGTGTAGTTTAGTAGTATTACAGAGAGCAGATTTAAATATACAATATTTTAATGCTAGAGGAAGAAAAAGTCATTTTTTGTGGTTTCTATAATATAGCTGCAGACTAAACACACTCCATTGTACATCTAGCGATACATATTGATAATTCCTTCATGAAACTGTCTCCATAGATTTCAATTTTTGGAGTTGCGTGGACTCAAGATTGTTTAAAATGTAGTAGTCTAGAAGGTGCCTTATGTTTTGATATGTGGACCAAGAGGCACCCACTGACAGCTTTTCACCCTCATTAGTTTCTGTTTTTCTGTGTCGATGGTTCACCATCCCTCAGTGTTCTCAGTGGGACTGAGGTCATAAAATGCCTACACAGCCTGTGCAGGAGACACTTTAGGCTGCTTTTAGCAAAGATGACCACTGCCTCCGATTTTTCCCAAATGGAATGAAGCCAAGCTTACCTTAGGGGAAGGTGACACCCACTTGTGCTGTCTGGAGGCCGAGGGGAACACTGTGAGGATCAGGTGAATTTGCAGGGACAGAGGGCAAGAAGGAGAAACTGTGTGCCTGTGCAGGGGAATGTGGAGCATAGGAGGGAGTTCAGGGGCTGGAGAGAGAACTGGGGGTGGGGGTGGGTAAAAGACTGTGAGCGGAAAGGGTGAGAAAATATGGGGGGTGCATGCAAATGAGAAATCTGTGAGAGAGCCTGGCCGAAGATGTGAATGGTTCAGAAGAGTGGGTGGGATGTAGAGGATTAGAAGGCAGGCAAGTTAGTGGAAAGGGATGAAGTGGGATAAAATAGCAGCTAACCCAATAATGGGGTGGTGTGTGTGTATTTCATCAGGATCAAGCCAGCCCCCCCGCGCCATCCACTGGCTGTGGTACAGAACATGCCCTGAAGAGCTTATTATCTAGAAATGTTGAGTATTCTATGGTTGTGCCATTGGTAGCATAATATATGTGTTGACATTACTGTGCAATGACAATAAGAGGAAGTATTGTATTTACCGCAGGATATATAATAATGTCTTTTGTAAAGAAAAATTCCTGCTTCCTTGACTTATCTCCTAAATAGGTGGTGATGGTTTCTAGAATGAAGAATGATATGACATGAGTGAAATGAATTAGGAAACTGAAACTAATATAAGTTTTGTACTGTGTGAAATGCTGCATAAATCAAAAATGATTTCCAGTAATTGTGTGTAAGTACAGTAGTGTATGTTTCCCTTTTAAAGTCAGTGTTGTTTGTTCATTATTTATAATAAATATAAAATATATGTCTAGAGTACAGTGCACAGCAATAAAATTGTTGATGCAAAAAGGAGTCATCCTAAGTACTGCTGTGTGACTAATGAGGATAATAATATAATATGAATAATGTCTGTCGCATCAGTGTCTTTGATTTGGTGTGTATGGGGTGTAATTAGAAACTTATTGCCTTTCTGAAGTATCTTTATGTGACGGAATCTTATGGCAATCCAGGAGGGAAAATGTAAACTAATAACTGGCTAGATATTAAAGGTGAGAGAGGGAGGAATAGCTGTTATTTTTGCAACTGATAATAGCTGTCAGATGCCTGCTATCAGAAACATGGATGAACAGCAATTTCTCTGTATTTCTGAGAGATTATTGGCTATAGTACCTCCTTGCCACCAGATGGATACAGTCCAGCAGATATGTTGAATTACATCAGTTTTGTGAACCAGGAGCTTGTTTGTTATCAGTCTCATTTGTTTTCCTCTACAGCAGATGTAAGTGTACCCATTTTGTTTACTTTGTTTACTTTGTTTACTTTGTCTTGTGCCTATTTTGAGCTGACTGGCAACTCTTGGATTAAACTTCTGGCTTTGGTTTTCATTCAGATTCCATTGTTTTGACCAGTTTGAAAAACTGGAATTTGGACACCAGTGTTCTAATTTAAGACAAGATACAGTAAGTGAGTACAACAACCAACAGAAGGAGTGAAGGATAGAGGAGGTTAATCATAAAATATTTCCATTGTTATACAGCTAACAATATGCACAATTTGAAGGTTCCAAATATTTTAGAGATATGTGTCTTTAATTTTTTTAATATATAAATATCATTTGCCACTGGCTGCACCTCACCTTAACCACCACTAGTTATGTTAGTAATTTTATATACAGGAAACCACATAAAACATTCACTGCGGTGGATGTATATACTTGAGATGTACTGCCGGTTAGTTGCTTTCCTTGCAGTGCAGGGGAGTGATAGGAAAGAGAGCAACATTCCTGTCTTCATCAGAAGCACCAGATATGGCAAGAAGGAGAAAACATTCCAGCTCTGCACTGAAGATAATTTTTCCTCATGTGGCAATCTTACAAACTAATTTTTTCCCCCCTAGGGGTACATTACAAAAAAACACAATGTGTCTGAACAAATGATACTACAATGCTCTAGTTCTTTAGACAAAGATTTTCAGAAGTGACTTGTGACTTTGGGGGTTCAATTTTTGGGTGCTCAACTTGGGATACACTCTGAAAATTGGGCGCCTTTAAAGTAGGTACTCAGCCCTTTTTGAAAATCAGGCTCACTTAAAGTTTCACAAATTTAGCAACCATCGTTAGAGGCAAAATTGCTGTTCATTCTTGAAAATCTTGGCCATATTGCATAAACTCAATAAACATACCTTATAAATCTTGCCGTATATGTTACAGTGCTTAGCCACAACTGAATTAAAGAAGCAACAGCTGCTTGAAAAAATCAACTGCAAGGATTTTGTTTTGTTTTTTAAAAGCCTCTAATCAGTCTCCCTTTTGTTCACAACCATTTTTGTGGGAGCAGATTGTTCCTGCATAAAGGGAGTTGCCCTTTTAACATCTGGCCTATAATTTTTGATGTTACGTTTAATCAATAGTACATACAATTATCCATAGGTACAACTGGCAAACTATCAACTTCATGAATGTGAATTGTGTATTGGATATAGATGGTTGTAAATATTTAATACCAATTTCTTGGATTCTACCATTGTATTTGCGTTCAGTTTTTTGGCTATTAGATGTCATGTAAAATCAGTGTAAGTTGTTTATTTCTTATTTGCTACCTTTTTACTAGTCATTTAAAAAAGCATTAGAATTCTAAGACAGTATGTCAGATCTCTTCAGGAATACATTAAAGGGTCTCCCTCACACATAGACGCTAAGGAAAAATAAATGAAAACATAATTGGGAATGTCCCTAAATAATGTCCTATAATAGAACTTAGATTTCATGAGGTCTAGCAGCCTCTCTGCTGGAGCTCTTATGCTGTTCTGTTCAAATCTTCTGTGCTCTTCAGTTTCCTCAGGCAGTGGTAACCTCAAATACACACATTTACGAAGCAACACAGAGTACATGAGATTTCGAAAGAACATTCTGCATGGTTTAGCATACAAGCTTTGTTATGGTATCAACAAAGGTAGGGGGACTTGTTAAAGTTGAGGAAGAGAATGGGGAAGTGCTTTCCTGAACTTTAAATGTTTCTAAACATTTAGGTGATTCACAAGAAAAAAGGAAGGTGTGCAGGCTAGTTCTTGCTTAAGAATTGGTTTGCCCATTCCTAGTTTTAACATATTGGATTCCAGTATGCAAATGAACTAAATTCAGCTATATGATGTCATTGTTCCTGAAAATGAGATTTATCATAATATTCTTAAAATGAAACTGTAAAGAAACAACCCCACATAACAAAGTATGTTTTTCCCTTTCATGTTTTTTTTTCTCCCAGAATTAAATACCGCATTTAAGAAAGTCTTTTTCAAAACCTGATGACTAAATTGTGTGATGAAATGACATTTGTGGCCATTAGTGTCTTGATTCGATAGAAAACAATTATATTTTT